AACCAGTCATAAGGGTCAAATGTATTGTTGGCTATTGCTACAAATATACCCCAGCGACTTAAGACTGCTTTTGTGCTCCAGGGTTACATTTTGTCTGGTTTTCAGTGAGCATTCTGGGATAGCCTCTGTGTTGGGCTCTCCTGTGATTTGTGAAACATGTTCAACCAAACACTAGTATGTGGTGTGCCGTGTGTATCCCACAATGATAATATGTTACCAAAGTCACTAGGGGTGGGAGAAAAAAATCGATTCTCCGATGCATCGCGATTCTCTCTTCAACGATACTGAATCGATTCTGATTCTGAGCATGGTCAGTTATGTTTTCAGAACAGGACAGAACATCTGATATATCGAAATAGATCTGTGCATTAGTGTAAATGCAGCCTGTTAAAGCTGCCACTGTCTGTGATCTCATCAGTAATAATCAAAAAACAATAATGCTGAGGAAAAAATAAAAACCCATAACTATGATTGTCTGTAAACTTTCGGATACTAAGCCTACTTAAAGAACACTTATTTTTAAAATATGTAATTATTTAAAAAAGTAGCTTGCTTATATAATTTAATAAATTATAAAATTTGCACAAAATAAATTTGATATAAAATGTGCAGTAATATTGAAAATTGAGAATGTGACGCATGGTGATATTGAGTTGAATCGAATCGTTGATCTGATAATCATAATTGAATTGAATCGTGAAACCAGTGAAGATTCACACCCCTATTTTTAAGATGGCAGTTCTGACTTACAGAGATTCCAACTATAAACAAAAAGCATAGAAACTGCAATTTTGGTTGACATGTAAAGTTGTAAAGATGTATTTGCACAGCAGAAGAAAAATGTAGATCAAGAATCTTTTTGGAATTGGATCGTGACTCCCAGAATCGGGATTGGATCGGATCGTGAAGTGCCTAAAGATTCCCACCCCTAAAAGTCACACACATTCTCACTCAGCAACAACAGCGTCCACACAACCAGCTTCCAAGTGGGCGGACTAACAGCATGTGTTCATTGGCAGTTTGAGCCGAGTACATTTTGCTTGGACGCCTGCCTCTCTGAAACGGCGCAATAGATCAAACTGACCATGTGCTACCTCTGCGGTGTTATTTCAAAGGTTTATGTTCCCCTCGCTATCTCGGATGCTAACCTCATCCTCAGTACTTACGGTCAACGCTCCCGTCGCTTTCCAGGTCGTACGAGCTCACGAGAAAATACCGGCTCTACAAAAACATCCAGAGGATGCAGCAAACCCACGGCTTTCAAAACTTCCACATCGTACCCTAGACCTTTGTGCTTCCTGCAGAGTTCCAGGAATTCAGCAGTGAGTGGGCACCTCGTCCAATCAGCACTCGGACGCGTGTTTGGCTATTAACATAAACAGTGTCTATTAGAAAAATGTGTCTGCTTCTCTTCTGGGCTTTATTAACACTATCTCTGTCCTCATGCATTCCTCAGGCTCCTTCAGCAAAGACAAGGGCGCGTGGATCATCAAACCAGTGGCATCCTCCAGGGGCAGAGGCATCTATCTGGTCAGCAATGTGAGTATGACGTGCTAAGTATGAGCAATGCTCATCTGGAGCATGTTCCAGAGACTGCCTACCAGCGACTTAAGACTGGTTTTGTGCTGCAGGGTCACATATAGTTATTGTAAAAAATAAATAAATAAATAAAAAATTGAGACTGTGGCCATGAGTATATAGACCAACAATGATTAAAATGGCACAGATGGAATATATGAATGTGAACATTTTTCTTCTCTTCTTTTAGCTGCAAAAGTTTTAATGGGATCTTTTCATCTTTTGTCAAATTTCTAATGAAATTCCAGACATTGGACCTCTTCAAATCACAGTGTTTCTTGTGGTTGTTTTCAGTCTTGTTTGATTGTGCCGGTGAGTCTATCGAGGTTAAGATGCACTGGCATTGGTGCTCTACATTGAAAAAAATTTTTTTGTAGATTTACTTTGAAACAATTTTCACTCAGAAATTGCTAGTACATTTCAGAAAAAAATTAAAAGAAGCTGTCTAGAAAGACAAAAAGTAAAATGTACTCAGTTTGTCTTTTGCAAGTTTTGGCACTCAACTCAATTTCACACATGGAATTAAGTAAAAGCCTTACTTTTTACTTTACTAAGTAATGTAAAAATTAACAAAGTGAATAAATGCATTTTGATTTTTCTCTTTTTTTTTTTTTTTTTAAGGTGTTTTTAATTAATCTTAATTTTAGACATACATGTTTAGTATGTCTCTGTTCATTAAATGAAGCAACAAACACCACAGTAATCATATAACCATCTTAACCACAAGCTCTGCTACACAATGATAACCACAAAAACTAAATATCCAACATAACTGCACATTAAACACTAACAAATATTTGTCTCAGAAGTGCATAAAAACACTTAATTTCAACATTTACTCTCCTGGTTCAGTTTTATGTGAATCATGTAGGGAGCTACAAATCCATGCAACAAAAATGATTTATGTAGTCCCAACACAAATGAATTACATAAACTTCAGATTACATATCCAAGTGGATTGAACACAGTGAAATTAGGTTGTGAAAAAAGGTTCAGCAATTGTGTTGCTTTAGTTTAATTTAAGTTGAACAAGCAGCAAAAAGATGTTTCCAGTGTAAACTGCATCATGTGCTGATTTGTGTACATAGCAGAGAGCATTTTTAAGCATGGTTTTCTGCTGTTCACATCAACGTGCCTCTGATGGCCAAAAATGCTGTCTAGGTAGGCACCTGACCTGAATATGAGTCTATATTGCATCTG